GACGAAAAAAATTGACAGTTTCTGATGAATAATTAAGTTATTTTTGATGTTTTATTTGGAAAGATTTAAAACTTGAAGAAGAAATATAGACTTTTAAAAAAAAATGATTTTGATAAAGTCTTTAAGTCGAGGAATAGGATTAAAACTACTAATTTAGTTTTCTATTATCTTCCTAATTATTTAGGAAGAGAAAAATTAAATAATGTAAAAATAGGGATTGTCGTACCCAAAAAAAAGTGAAAAAAAGCTGTAGATAGAAATTACTTAAAAAGAGTTTTTTGGGCAGCAAATGCTCAAAATAGTCTCGATGATCTTCCTAAAGTAATGTCAGTATTTTTGTATACAGATTTTTTTCGCTCTAAATACAGGTTCAAAGAGGTAAATGTAGAACAATTAAAAAAGGAAATTAAATATATCTATTTAATTTTTTCGAAAAGATGTTTCTAAGTTTTAGGTTTGGCTGAATTGTTAAGCAAGAGCAAAAGAGATTTGGATTACTATCTTTTCAACCAGATGATCCATTTAATGATCCCGTCAGATTTTACCTCAAAAAGGGTTTCAAGATATTCAAGATTGTTTTGTATTCTTTCTGCACCCTTATGATCGCTTGGTCTTTTTTTCAAAATTTCACTATGTATGCTAAAAGTAGACCTAGTCCTGGAGAAGGTTTAGAGGCAGCTTACTCCCCCTCTGGGGGTTCGAGAACAGGAGATTATAGATATGATGCTTTTCCTTGGACTCCTAATCCCTGAGCATATTGACCTTTAGTTAGTTCTGGAAATGGTTTTGGACCTTTTATACAGTGATTTGTATATCCCTTTTCTAGGTTATTTTTATTACTAATTTGAAATTTCAAGGGTAGTACTAATGGAATTATCGACAACTCAGGGTTCAATGTAATTTTTGCAATTTGAATAATTCTTATCTTTATGAAATTAATAACCTTTTTTACTACTTTTAGAGCGCAATTTTATTCCGATAAACAGCAAAGACATAAAAAAAACATTGCGTTAATTAATGAGAAATACTCAGGAGGTACTGAAAAAACTATGGAGTGAAGGCAAATGGCAGCTTTGAGACAGAGAGAAGTTACAGATTACAACAAACGTCAAGGATTGAAACCATTAGCACCTCTTGAGAATTTTTTCATAAATTCTCCAATTTTTTTAATAGTTTATAGATTAATGACAATTACAAGACCAGTAAAATATGCAAGATTATTTGGAAAAATGCCATTTTCTGAATCTCCTTTTTATCAAATTTTTTCTTCTAATTTTTCCTCAACAGGTTGGATGTTTTTAATTTTTTGTATGATAGTAATTCCAGTAAATATTTTTAGTCAAAAACTTCCTACTTTTTTAATGAAAAAAAGATTCCCAGATTATTCTGTAGATAGTAATCTAAGTTTTAGAAATATAAGTATTACTAATGGGAAAACTTTGCAAAATATTATGACTGTAATTTTTGTTTGTTTTTCACTATTTTGATCAATAAGTCTTGCCATTTATTATTTTTTTAATGCTCTTTTGAATATACTCTCAAACTATACAATTCACGTAATACTAAAGAAATTTAAAGAACAGGAAAGTGCTCTTACCAGAAAATTAAAGCTATTGGGTGTTTAGGTAATAAGAAATAAGAAATAAGAAAAAAGAAAAAATTATCTCAAGTTTTTCTAAAAAATAAAAATATTCAAAAAAAAATTGCAGATACTATTAATAAGTCAAATTACGAAATTATTTTGGAAATTGGTCCAGGTTGTGGTCAGATAACCCAGCATTTAGAACTAAGCAACAAGGAGTATATTGGAGTCGAAATCGACTCCAATTTATCTTCTTTTCTGTCTTCTAGATTACCTTATATAAGAGTTATAAATAAGGATTTTTTAGAGCTAAAAGAGTCAGAAATTCTTGAAATACTTTCTATTCAAAAACCTGTATTATTATTTGGAAATATTCCTTATCATATTAGTACTGAAATATTATTTAAATTTTTAGAGGTGAAGTTATTTGAAGAAGCTTACTTTACAATTCAAAAGGAATTTTTTGAGGTGATATCAGCAACTTTCAATAGTAAAAAATACTCTTCTATCTCAGTATTATTTCAAACTTTTTGTGAGATTCATAAATTATTCATAATAAATAAATTAAATTTTTATCCTAAACCTAAAGTTGACTCAATTTTCATTTCACTAAAAAAAATAAATAATTTACCCTATGAAAATTTAAAAAATTATTTAAGTTTTGTTAGAAAATGTTTTTTAAAGCCTAGAAAAATTCTGTGGAATAATTTATTATCTGAAGAATTTGATGAGATTCGACTTAAAGAGATTTTTAAAAAAAATAATCTTACAAGAAATATAAGGTCTCATCAATTAAAACCTTTAGAAATTTTTAATTTATTTTCTAATTTAGACTAATTTACTTTGATAATTCTTCTAATATCACACCCATTCTGTTTTTGTTTTGAATTTCGTATTTAAGTACTCCTTTTAGGTGAGATAAAAATTGATTTGTAGTATTAATTCCATCGTTTAAGAGATTTTCACTCATTTTCTTTAGATAATTTACGGGAATTTTCTTTAGCAAAGAAAAAACAAATGAAAGAATTCCATTTATAATAGGTTGATCTATGTTTTTATTCAAACATTCGGTAATTCAAGATTCTAGTGTTGTAGGAACTTGTTTTTTCTTGGTAAGTTTCAGATAAAAGGAAATTCCAGAATAATTAGAAAAAAGCTGATTGAATTGTTTTTTTAATCCTTTTTTGTCTTTAGAGATAGGTAGTTTCCTCCAAAATTGATGATACTCTTCAATCTGAAATTCTGAAGATCCGAGCCCCAATTCTTCATTTATGAGATTTGTTAATTCCATAATTGAAAGGTAGTATTCACCCCCTGAATTAGATTTCATAGAAGATATAGAAAGTTCAATTATTCTAGAAGAATTAATTTTTTGACTTTCTCAATATTGTTCTAATACTTCTATAATTGCAGGAGAAAGCTCAAATTCTCTCCCAAAAGTTTTATAAATTTCATCATAAAAAGTTCAATAAAGTTTTTTATTTTTAGCGTTTAAATTTGTTAATTCATTATTTTTATTATCTTTGGATGAGACCTTACTAAAAGTTAATTCATCATAATTTTTTGAATTTCCAATACTATAAATTAATTCAGTCATTTTAAACTCGGGAAGAATATTTTCTAATAATCGTCTTTTAGATAAAAGTTCTCGAATATTTTCCGGAGAATGTAACTTCAAAATTAACCTTTCAGTTGAATTATTTTCTTCAGAAAAGACAGATATTAGTTTATGTCTTTCCAATTCAGTTATTAGCTCTCTAAATTCCTGGTAATTTAATTTTTGAGAATCGAGTAGATTTGCCAGACTATATTCTTTTGAAGGATTTAAGGAATTGATTCTATTTTGAGAGTATAGGTACGGAAATAAGATTAGACTTTTTTTAGAAAGAATGAAGTAATATACCTGAAAATAGGATATTCAGTCAAATTCAGAAGGGTCAATTTCTATTTGAAGTAGCTCTCTTCTTTTTTCTGTATTCAGAACTTAGGAGAGCGAGAAAAATTTAGGTTAAATTTGAGATCAGATTTGAATCTTAGTTTTTTGAAATTTTTTGTCAAAATTTGAATCTAACACAGTTTCTACTTAAACAAAAATTTTAAGAATCCTTTAGAAAATTTTTTTGTTTTCTTAGGTCTTTAAATAGGGGAAAAGAACTTTTAATTTCAGCTAGTAATAATGCTTTGAAAATTAATTTATTGACTAAATTTTTTGCCAAAATTGATGGAGGATCCAGGTGAGATTCCTGTAGAGCCTAATTCAGATGACAAGTCTTCAGGAAGGTTTGAAAGGTGGAAATCTTCCATTTATCCAGGAGGGATTAGTCCCCGCAGAAAGAGTAGGATGATTAGATTCATTTTTCTTGGTGTTGTCATTTTACTACTTTATTTTTTATTCTTCTACGACAAGGCAATTCACTTAAGTGGTATCTCACTCTGCAGCTCGAATGGTGATAATTGCAATGGGAAGTTAAAACTTGATGATAGTTATTCAATAAAGGAAAAATATCATGAACACGCAAGGGCAGAAAAAATTATGACTAATAGTTCAGATGATGTGTTCAGAATTTATGCTAGGACTGACTCGAATCAGTTAATTTCATTCAATGTTACGAGATCCAGACAGAATGGAAATGGAAAAGATACTCATTATTACACCTTTAATTGCAAAAATGGAGGAAATTGCAAAATTTCGATAAATTGTGAAGAACCAGGAAAAAAATGTTGTTGCTGCTGTAATAAAGAGAAAGAATGTTCTTGCGATGTTAAATGTTGTGAAGGTGGTAATGGATGTTGTAGTGATGGAAAAAAATGTTGTTGCTGCTGCTTTGCGCAGCTTGTTGAGGCCGCTATTCTTAATGCAGACGCACCTGATCGGATGACTGCAGGTAGAGTATTTTTCTCTCTTCTTCCAACATTACTCTATCTTCTAGTGTTTATGTTTTTAGCTAGGGGCGCAGCGAAGGGACAATTGGGACTGTATGGTGGAAAAGGAGGAATTTTTGGAATTGGTAAATCTATCAGTAAGACCAATAAGTCAAAGGTAACTTTTAAGGATGTTGCGGGAATTAAAGAGGAGAAGGAAGAATTAGAAGAAATAGTTGATTTTTTGAAGAGACCGAAAAAGTATGCTTCTATGGGTGCTCGAATACCTAAGGGTGTAATTTTGTATGGGCCTCCCGGAACTGGAAAAACCCTCTTGGCTAAAGCAGTATCGGGAGAATCTAATGTTCCATTTTTGGAAGCTTCTGGAGCAAGTTTCGATGATATGTTTGTAGGGGTTGGAGCGAAAAGGGTTCGAGAATTATTTGATAAGGCTAAAAAATTATCTCCTTGCATTATCTTTATTGACGAGATTGATGCTCTCGCAGGTAAACGAGGGGGAAAATTCAACATTCAGGGAAATGAACAAACAATAAATCAATTATTGAGTGAAATGGATGGTTTCAACACACAAGCAGGAATAATAATTATTGGAGCGACCAATCGTTTGGAAAGTATTGATGAGGCAGTTCTGAGACCTGGTAGATTTGATAGACATATTCAGATAAATCTTCCCGATATTTCTGAGAGAAGAGAAATTCTTAAACTACATGCCAAAAATAAAAATCTCTCAAATAAGATAGATCTTGAGGAAGTAGCGAGAAAAACTCCAGGATTCTCAGGAGCACAATTAGAGAATGTTCTAAACGAAGCAGCATTGTTAGCTGTTCGAGGGAATAAAAAATTCATTTCCACTTCCGAAATAGACGAATCTATTGATAGAGTTATGGCAGGACCTGCTAAAAAAGGAAGAAAGATTCTTTTGGCAGAAAAAAAACAAATTGCATATCATGAAGCAGGACATGCGATTGCAGGACTTTATACCGATGATGGAGAGATTGTTGAGAAGATCACAATTATTCCAAGAGGTAAAGCAGCTGGATATGTTCTTTCAGTTCCAAAAGTTCAGGAAAGATCTATTAGCACTAAATCACAATTGCTCTCTACAATTCTGACCATGTTGGCTGGTAGAGCCGCTGAAGAATTATTCTTCGGATTGGAGAATATAAGCACTGGAGCGTCTAATGATTTGTATAAAGCTACTCAAATTGCAAGAAATATAGTACTAAAGTTTGGAATGTCCAGAGAAGCAGGAATGACACAATTTATTCCTTCTGAAGAACCCGAAAACCCCTACAAGAATAACTACTCAGAAACTTATGCACGAATAATTGATGATGAAGTACATAAGATTCTTTACCTTCAATATTTGGCAGCTAAAAAATTAATAGAGGAGCATAAATCTGAACTTTTGTTAATTGTTGAGACTCTTCTACTTCTCGAAACTATTGATAGAAAACAGATTGAATTTATTCATAAATATAGAAGAATACCTAAAGAAGCAGAAGAGGAAAAAGCAAGAAGAAGTTCACAATCAGCGTTTAAAGTATATGGGACTCACAATTACTAGTGATTTCTTCTAAATGATTTAGAGATAATTTTGAGAACTTAAAAGAAAGGATGGATGGAAGAGATATTGATTTTTTTATACTTGAACGAATTAAACGATTAGATTTGAATCTTTTAAGTATGAAAACTGAACTTGATAAATTTAGGGCTGAAAAAAATTCTCTTTCCAAGAATTTCAAATCAAGAGAAGTTGAAAAGGTTAAACGAATAAAAACCGAAATAAAAAAGATAGAGAATGAATACGAACTACAGAGGAAAGAACTTGACGAATTAATTTCAATTGTTCCGGCAATACCAGATGAAGATGTTTCCACAATTAATAGAGAAATACTAACATGAGGGGAGATATATAAGGGAAAAGGCCCGAATTCTTATCTAGAATTATCTAAGACACACAATTTGATTGATTTGAAGTCTTCTGTAAGGTGTTCTGGAACAGGTTTTTCTATTTACACAGGAAGTGGTGAAAGACTTATTAGAGCTTTAATTAATTTCACCCTTGATTGAGCTGAAAAGTATGGCTTTCAACGAAAATATCTTCCTGTTTTGGTCAATAGAGATTCTCTTTTCTGCACCTCTCAAATTAGCAAATTCAGAGAAACTCTTTTTCTAATAGGAAATGCTTCTGAAAAATATTTATCACCTACGGCAGAAGTTCAATTAGTTAATTTATATAGAGATCAAATAATTGAACAAAAAGAGTTACCAATTAAAGTTTGCGCGAATACAAATTGTTTCAGAAATGAGAAGATCGGAGCCGGTTCAGAAAGTAAGGGAATTATGAGACTCTATCAATTTATTAAGACTGAATTAGTAATGTTGGTTGAGGAAACAGAATCGGAAAATGCACTTAACTACCTTTCCTTAGTAATAGAAAATATATTGAAAGAAATAAAACTTCCCTTTAGAAAAATATTGTTGTCTAAGAGCGAATTATCTTTTTCTTCTTCAAAAACCTATGATTTTGAAGTTTGAATACCGTCTGAAGGAAAATACAGAGAAATTTCTTCACTCTCTAATACAAGAGATTTTCAGTCAATTAGGGGGAATATTAGATATAAAAAAGAGTTATTAAATAATAGAGAAAAAAGTAAGCATGTACATATATTAAATGGGTCTTGTTTAGCTATTGATCGATTATTTGCAGCAATCTTAGAGAATTATCAATTACCTAATGGAGATATACAAATACCAGAATGTTTGATTAATTATTTGAATGTGGAGAAACTAACTAAATAATGGCTATTAAGTATTATTCTCTAGGAGGTCAAGATGAAAGATTTAGGTATTGCGGAGTATTAGAACTTAATGGAGATATTTTTTTACTAAATTCAGGATCCAGTTGTGTTAATACAAACCTCTATGATATTGAGGAAATTATTCCGGATTATAAAGTGTTACTTCCACTAAAAAACCGAATAAAGGGAGTTTTTATAGGAGTTCCAAGGGAATTAAATATCTCCTCAATTCCCTATTTGTTACAGTTGTTTCCTGATTTGCCTATATACACGAATTCTTTTGGTTCTGAAATAATTAATTCCTTTCTTGAAAGATTTGAAAGTGTTAAAGGAAAAAAATTTGATCCAAAGATAGTAACTCTGGATTTAGTTAGCGAACACTTTATTACTACTGATATCAAGGTAATTCCAATAAAAGTTGCAGCGACTCTCCCA